TTGTCGGCAGCCCCGTTATTCCTCATGGGATGAGGTTTACCGGGGCTGCCGACAAAGGGCTTTGATGTTGGCAGGGGAGCGTCCAGACTAGCGCGCTGAGCGGACAAACAGCTGATCAGCTGTTTGTCGGCTCAGTGCAGCAGCCATGTAAATGTAAATGAAGCCGCGATCATTTAAATCGTGGCTTCATTTGCCTTTGTCAAAACAACAAATCTACATGGCTCCATCAATGGAGCCATGTAATTTAGACGTCCCCCTAGTGATAAAGGGATAGAGTCCAGTCATTGATTGAATTTTGAGTTAAGAGGTGATTACAAAAAATGAAAAAGAAATTCAAAGTTCAATCTGATACCAATCTGATAATTCCCAAAATACTTGGCAAATGGAAACCGTGGACCAAAATGTCTTTCTCAGCTGATGGAAACATTAAACATAATTGGAAATGGAACATTTTCTTTCCTTCTAGGGGATTTTCAATGTAGAGCAAAGACGACGAAGGGCTTAGACTGAGCAAATGGATGGGAGTGGAAGATGCAATGATGTTGCTGCTTCCCTTGTATCCAATGATTAGAGCCCTCCTGTGAGTGGGAGAGACACAGGCCAATTCATAACTGTATCTGATGGAGAGAAGCTATTTGAAAATGGGGTCTCCCACACTGCTGTATAATGACCAGACAAGTGTGCTATGTACCCTCCTGAATCTTTCTGAGTGTGGTCAATGCTAATGCTGCCAGTCAGTCTAAGATACACTAGTTTACAGTCAATATGACTTATTCTGACTTACGGCAATGTCTATATGATGCTATGTTGATGGGAGAGTTACGAAGCTGAATTATGGAGTCTTTGAATACCCAGGCCCTTTCTATAGCTTGGTCTTAATGGACTAAGAAATGTGATGCTCACAACCCCTAGACATGGTGATTTTGGCTTCTATAGTGAATATTAAAGACCGGAAAAGATGTTCCAGTATTTCCTGGTACTAACAGTAGCAACAGTAATTCCCTCCCAAGTTCCAATGGAATTCCATTCACTGTAAAGCATTTTTAAATGACTGTGGTAGCAACTTTATTATTCCTGTCCACATTTAATGATAGGAAATTACATATATGGGAATGGTATGACATAAAAAACCGGGTCAATCTGCTCACTATGTAGTTGCCTCTTCTCATTCCAACTACAGGGGACAACATTTTCAAAAGAATCCATTAATCCAGGGTACCTATGGAGAGGTGAGAAATTGTGACTCTTACATTCTTTCCACCTCCCTTTGCCCATCTCTCAGTGTGAGCAACTGTGCTTGTTTGTAGGCCCTTCTCTGACCCTCCTCAATGAATTTCTTCCAAGCACCTCATAATCATTATTGTCTTTATTGCCATAACTTCCGTGTTAGGTAGGGCCATGGTATCTCCCTTTCACAACAGAGGAGGCGAAGCACAGAAGAAGTAAATGTCTTACTTCAAGGTCACACGAGAGCTCTGCTATTGAGCCAGGAACTGAGCCCCAAATTACAGAGCACTAGACCACAGACATGTCTACACTCCCTCTGCCCTGCTTTTAACCATTTCCCTGCTGGAGTGAGGCAACCCCACACCACCACCACACTGCCTTCCCTTTGAGAGCTCTTATCTGTGACCTTTTTGCCTGGCCCCCAGTGAGGTCTCTGTGCTCACCACTGCAGTGGCAGGAACAGTCCCCTTTTCTGTTCAGTGAGCTGAGCTACACAGGCCCCCCAATAATATTTCTACTTACTTTTTCCACCCTCAGTTTCTCACTCACTATACACCTATCTCTATTCCCTTCTGTATTGGAAGGAGGGCCAACATACACACAGGTGCCTGCATTCTCCACTGTATGTAATGGCATTATGACATAACCCTTGCACTTGAAGGAGGGACATCGTTTTTCTCCTGGGCACAGACATGGAGTGACAGATGTATCAATTTCTGAATACAGAGATTGACTGCCCTTGGTTGTTTCTATTGCTGCTCAGGGAAGGGTGACTTTGTGTACATTATATGCAACACCCTCCCCAAAGGATTACACAAAAGCTGGTTTTCCTCCTAATATAATCAAAACTTCAAGGTTTCTGAGATTTGCATCACATGGGGAAATGGGACCCCAATGTGCTCTGTAGCACCGAGTAACACAGACCTGAGACAGGAGCGGGTTTTCTGGTACCACAGTGAAGAAGGAAAGAGACATCACTGGCCCTACAATGGTTCTCCTTGGAGGAAGGTTATGACCACAGCGTCCTTGTGCATTTGTAGCCGTGGATCAGTGCATGGGGCTTTCCCAGTGGTAACCTCACCCTTTGATATTAATCTTACACTGTTAGAACCACACCTCTGATGTTACTGGGATAATTTCTAGATGGGTGGCTGTGACGTACCTTAGTGCAACTCAGATTAATCAGCAACTGTGTCACACATACCTGCAGCTTTGCACGCCTTGCATTACCTTTTGGAAGTGGCTTCCAGACGGGCCACTCATAAACCACCTTTGAGTATGCTAATTACACCCGGATCATCTCTCTCCAGACTGCCACCCACACTCAGATTACACCCAGGCTCTCACCAGGCTTGAGTTTGCTTCAAGGTTACCCCAACATACTCCACTCTTCAACTTCCCTCCTGAAATGTACATCTTCTGCTGCCAACTCCTCTCCTAGACAATACAGGTTACATTGTCCATTATCTCCTTAACGGCAAAAATATGCATGCAACTGAATTTCCCAGGCAATTTGCACACACACATCAGATAAAACAATAAAAAAATGTATTGACCAGCCAGTGATATAGTTTAAGTGAGTACAAATTGGGAGGCATACTTGAAGAAGATAACAAAACAAAAAGAAGCATAAAATCAAGTCCACTTCTACCACAAGCTACACACTGTCATATGTATCATGACACCACATCAGCTCTTTAAATATATTGAACATCAAACACAAGAGAACTACTTGCTCCACACCAACTCATCTGATGAGTTGGGTCTTACCCATAGCTGCTCTTGATACTGTATATTTTTGTTAGTCTCTAAGCTCTGGTCTACACTTGGACTTGATTTCTAAATAACCCCACTTAGGTTTAATTAATAAGCAGAGCATCCACACTACCAAGCCTATTCTTTCAAAATAACAACCTGCTTCTTTTGAAATATATACACCTGCTTTCCTCAAGGAATAATCATAGAATCATAGAATACAAGGACTGGAAGGGACCTCGAGAGGTCATCAAGTCCAGTCCCCTGCCCTCATGGCAGGACCTAATACCATCTAGACCATCCCTGATAGACATTTCCCTAACTTACTCTTAAATATCTCTAGAAATGGGGATTCCACAACCTCCCTGCACAATTTATTCCAGTGTTGGACTACCCTGACCGTTAGAAACTTTTTCCTAATGTCCAGCCTAAACCTCCCTTGCTGCACTTTAAGCCCATTGCTTCTTGTTCTATCCTCAGAGGCCAAGATGAACAAGTTATCTCCCTTCTCCTTTTGACACCCTTTTAGATACCTGAAAACTGCTATTATGTCCCCCCTCAATCTTCTCTTTTCTAAATTAAACAAACCCAATTCTTTCAGCCTTCCTTCATAGGTCATGTTCTCTAGACCTTTAATCATTCTTCTTGCTCTTCTCTGGACCCTCCCCAATTTCTCCACAACCTTCTTGAAATGCGGTGCCCAGAACTGGACACAATACTCCAACTGAGGTCTAACTAGCGCAGAGTAGAGCAGAAGAATGACTTCTCGTGTCTTGCTCACAACACACCTGTTCATGCATCCCAGAATCATGTTTGC